ATGCCCATCATTTTTCAAAAAAACATAGAAATGAAATAGTCAATTATTAAAATTGTTTATGATTTCATTTTTAATTTTTGTCTAAAGTTAAAGATATATATTTTCGGCGATTATAACATTTTTTGTATTAACTGAAAATTTGAAAGTTTACCTTTTTTGAGATCTCTTACCATTTTATAATTTTAATATTGTGCCATTTTGAACTATCCATGGTGTATAAATACACTCTATATGACCATACAAAATCCATTGAGGAGACATTTGTACTCGAGAGTAAACTTCTCCTTAAACTAAATTCGGGTGTCAAGAAAATATCCGTTTTCATTCATAATGATATTCCTATTTATGAGTCTCTCATCACTGTTCGGTACATCAATGATGTCTGGATTTCTGGATCTTCCATTGTTCACTTTGATCCTTATGATTGTGCCATTGCCAGTATTTTTTTATTTGGGTTCAGTACAACGTGGATTTTTTTGGGAGGTTTCTCTAATTAAATTTTTGGTTAGAATTTTACATTTCCTTTGTATTTTATTTTATTACTTTTTTTTTTTTAATTTATACTAATATGTGAATGGAGTAACACAAAATCTGAAATTGTATTTGTTATTTATTTCTTCTTTTTAAATAATATGAAAAAACCATAGAAACTTGAATGACATGTACAAATCTCGAAATCAATATACTAACACTAAGTTTCAGAAAATCTTACAAAATTATCAAAATTACCGTCTTTATCATCCTCGATCGCGTCTCTACAATCTTGCATAAAAGCTAAACCAATAGGGTTCTGTTACAAATGCTCTTCCTCCTCAATTTCCTTTTGTTGAAGCAGAGCCTCCTTAAGTATCTTCAAACTCATACCAGACGATATAAACTGCAAAACATATTGAAGTACGTGAGAATATAGTTAGAAAAATGTAGAAAATTCATTCAAAAAGAAAGTAGAGAGATGAGTATGAGATTCTTTGATTGAAGAAACCCTTGTATTTATAGGTAGAAAATACTAATTCAAAAGGAAAGTATAATAATTTATTTATTTAAGGGAAAGTATAATAATTTATTTATTTAAGGTAATAACATCATTATTATTATTTTTATTTATTTATTTATTTATTTTCCATTTAACATTTACTTACCAAATAAGTTTTACTACAAAAGTTTTGGGGGGAAAATTTGTTAGGAGGATTTTACTTTTATATATATATAGATATAGATATAGATATATAGATAGGAAGAGAGATTTTTTAGGAATTGGGCGGGAAGTTAAAATTTCAGGATTTTGTTTTTATATATAGTATAGATTGTATTACACTATTTTATAATATTAAAATAGAATTTTAACGCAGAATTATTGTACGAATGTGAAAATAGAAATCAATATATTTTATTAGTAAGACAGATTTTTTAGGAATTGGGCGGGAAGTTAAAATTTCAGGATTTTGTTTTTATATATAGTATAGATTGTATTATACTATTTTATAATATTAGAATAGAATTTTAACGCAGAATTATTGTACGAATGTGAAAATAGAAATCAATATATTTTATTAGGAAGAGAGATTTTTTAGGAATTGGGCGGGATGCTAAAATTTCAGGATTTTGTTTTTATATATAGTATTGATTATTTAAATTAAATCAACCCTTAATACAAAACGTAAGATCAGCCTTAATAACAACACAGAAACGCGGAATCATCCTATTAGCCAATTATTATTACTATAATTACTATTACTATTTATTTTTATAATAATAATAATAATAATAATAATAATAATAATAATAATAATAATAATAATAATAATAATACTATAATAACAAATTATCCTTACAAAACGAATTATTCACATACAGAAACGCAGAATCATGCATCCTATTAGCCTTAACGAATTATTATTACTATAATTACTATGCACGTGTAATTCATGGTATTTAGTATGAATGGGGATTATTATTCATCTATTACTATGCACGGGAATCATGCAATAGCTATTAATATTAGTATTTAGTATTTCATAATTAAATAATTAAATTAAATTATTCATTTGTAATTCATTTGCAAAAATTCATAGTTATAAATACCTCATTGGTCTTGCTTCTCATTCATTTTCAATCCTCTTCCCGAGTACTTTTCATACGCTAAACTTTTCAATATGACTCACACCTTCAATCTACTTAACCAAATCACCGCTACCTCCACGAATTGGGTGATACAAGTTCGTCTAATCCGAATGTATGAGTCAACATTATATTCAACAATAACACCTACAATTCTCATACTTTGGTGTGTGTGTTTCATGATTCTGAGGTATATTCGTCACTTTTAGTGTGTGTGTATATATATATATATATATATATATATATATATATATATATATATATATATATATATATATATATATATATATATATATATATATATATATATATATATATATATATATATATACATAATATATTCAATACTAATATATATTTTTCTTAATTTTAGTTTTATAATTCACATGCTAATATGTTTATTATATAACACATATTCATGTATTTCATATTCTATTATAATATAGATTTTCATTAAATTTTTACTTTTTGCTAATTTAGGGTACGCGTATATATGCAAGTATGCAACAATAAAAAAAAGACTCAAGTTGATGAATTTTAAAAATCTTTTTTGAGGGTCATTTGTACTCCATTAAAAACTTTATTGCAACAAATGACATGAGATACAAAACTACGCACCACAAATACAAGATCCTGTTCATGCATTCTACAAAAGTCTTTCAGTATAACAACAACGACTTTCCAAACATGACATACAGGTTGAAAGCTTTCGATCAACTTGGTCCTACCCAAATTAAAGCTTCTGAACTATTTGGTAATACTTATTTACGGTCCTCATTTCGTATATATATATATATATATATATATATATATATATATATATATATATATATATATATATATATATATATATATATATATATATATATATATATATAGATTTTGAATCCGGTGCACACCCCCTAGTCAGTCGAGCCTGTGAGCACACTCCCTGATCGTTGATTTTAAGTTTTTGATGATTTAGATTGATTACCACTTGGATCCCATGTTATATTGATTTTAGATGAAGAAGGGTCTTTTTTGTCCTTAAACACTATATTTATTACTTTCCATTTCATTTATTTCCATGTTTATAAAGATTTGTAGCGTTATTTAAGCTCTCCTTAATCAATATTTCTCTCTCTTATCCATGGAAATTTATTGGTATGTTAAATACTCATAATTTTCATTGATTTACATACAAATGTTTTCATATAAGTAAATTTAATTTTCCTACAAGCAATATGGAACTATGCAAGCTCATTACGCACGGAAAAAAACAACCATGTATTATCTACGTATAATAAAACAGATAATTTTTTTTTATATATCAAAGGAAGGGGGAAACCCAAAGATAAAACAGATAATTTAGTATGTATAGTATAATGCATATATAAATTTTTGGTTGGCGAAAGAAACTCATAACTATTACCTGCGCGCGTGCGTAAATTTTTGGAATGGTGTGTGCGTTTTACTGTAACAGGGCTCGTGCACAATGGCCTGCTGATTTTTTCATAAAATTATGCGTTTTGGTATGTGCGTTTCGTGATACATGCATGTACATTTTGGTTTGTGTGTTACTAGTTTTGGGCGTGTGCGAAACGTATCTAAAAGAAAACCAAAATATACGAATCTAATTTGGGTATCGGCATTTGAATTTTGAGTAGATAATAAGTGCGTAGTAGATATAGTATTTGACTTGTTGTGTTTTTTTTTTTTTTTTTTAAATTGTGGGGAATTTTACAGTGGTGTGTGTGCGGGTGTGGAATGGCGTGTGCGGTTTTCTGTAACAGGAGGTGTACACCATGGCAAACTATAAAACGCACACACCATTCCACACCCACGCACACACCACCGTAAAATTCTCCATAATTTAAAATTTCAGATGTACAAAATATAATTAATTATTACCATTGATAGGGTCCCTGATAATTTATGGTAGGATATATCCCGACCGACATAACTCAGTTCCTCTGGTTTTTGTGCAGGTTTTACAAGTCGGGTATTCTTAACGAAAGACGGTTGGACCCGACCGATAGACTTCCCGACCGGGGTCTTCTTCACCCGGTTAGTGGCCTCTATCTTACAAAGAGGCACGTGGCAACGTTACATGTTGAAAGAGAGGGCTCGCGGGGTGGAGACGCGTGGATGCTATGTGGGTCACATGCCGGCCGGCCGGAGCTGTGTCTCCGGCCTAGCGGCTATAAGTACCAACGATGGCTACAGTGTGGGGGACTTTTGGACGATCGATAGATTATCTACAGAGCTGCCTGACCGCAATCAGTCGGCCCTCGGGATAATCATTTAGATTGTATTAGGTCCTTCATTGATCAATAAAGACTTCTATTTGTTATCATTTGATCTTATTTAAGTATACCTTGACCGCTTTACATGTGGAATTAGTACTATCATTTTGGCGTCGTTTGTGGGGACCCAGTACGACAAAGCTATTGTAGACGCGTCCGGATCCTGATCAACATCATGTATCCATTCATGTACCAAGCATTAGAGGATGAGCAAGCGGACGCAGCAAGTTCATCCGACCACCATCGTACACAATATCAAGGTCAAACAGTTGACCTGAACCTCAATTTATCACCACCTCATTCGGCGGCCGGAACCCGGTCAATTACATTCAACCGGTATACCCGGCGCCTGGTCCGCAGTATCCATTTCCCGATCAATATCCATACCCGATCCCTCCTCCTCAATATGGGTGTTGGCCCGGAACGCCGATGTATTATCCACCACCGGCCGGATATTCACAATATATGCCTGCGTACACGGCTCCAGCTTCCGCTCCTCCGATTTACCCGACCATGCCGACCGAGCCGGAGCTTTAGCCCGCTCCCCAGGCTAGGCGCTCGGCTCGTTCGAGGTTGGGGTCGCAGGGTGCCGAGGCCATGGAGGAACCACGGCAGGCTCAACATGTTCACCCGGAAACACACGCTCAGGTGGCTGAAGACCTTGAGATAGAAGCCAATCGGGCGATGGCATTCGAGCGACTCCGACCAGCAATGCGGCAAAGATTGGGACCGCAGGACCCAAACAGACGCTCGGTTGATTCGCCCATGCGAGCGGCAAGCCAGGAGGGGTCGTCCGGGCATAGTGGGTCTAAATCACATCGACGACGCCGCGCCCGGGAACCAGCCCAAACGGCCGTACAAGATGAGACCCGAGGACTGCTGAACGAACTCCGGGCAGAATTCACTCGCTGGAAAAATGAGCATGTTGTGAGGCCTCCCACCGATCATTCAGCCTCTCTGTTGAGGACACCCTTCACGGTGGAGATTAAGGCTCAGCCTTACCCGCTCGATTTGCGCATCCTCGGAAACAAGGAATATGACGGGCGGACAGACTCGGAAGTTCATGTCAACACCTACTATGGCAATATGATGATGATGGGCGTGGCTGACGTCGTGATGTGCCGAGCCTTCTACTCAACGCTTTCCGGTCGAGCGGCCGAGTGGTTCAGAACCTTGCAACCGGGATCCATTTCTGATTTCGCCACTTTGGCAGCCAAATTCATGAGGAAGTTTGTCACTTCCAAAGTCATTCAGAAGCCCTACATGTATCTCGAGAAGGCCAAGCAATTGGAGGGAGAAAGCTTGACTGAATTTTTAGTCAAGTGGAAGGCGGCGGTCGGAGAGGTCGAGCCGATGGACGACCTAACGGCCATTCATATGCTGCACATTTCTTTACGAGCTGGTTATCTGTACCAGGACTTTATACTCCACCCTCCAACCACTTATGAAGAAGCCCCCTGTAGAGTGACGGATTATGCTAACGCTGGTGAGGCAAATGCCGTCAAAAGGTCGCAAGAGGTCGGGGCATCATCCCAGAAGCCTCCCGACCGGGCGGATCATCGGCCGGTTGAAGATCATCCCCGACCTCGAACCTGGCCGGGAGAGTTTACAGCGTTAAACCGATCTGCGGCGGAGGCCATGCAATACGCCCAGTCTTGCAACCTTATCCGTTTACCTCAGATGGGCTGGATAAGACGAAACATTGTGCTTACCATCGATGTGCGGGGCATGACACGGAGGAATGCATGTATTTAAAGCAGCTGTTGGAAGATTTGCTTCACTTGGGAAAGTTGGACAAATGTGTGGGGAAGAGAGAAGAAAACAAAAGAGTGGGCGAGAGAAAAGATCAAAGGCGATCTCATCATCGCTCTGATCGGAGAGATCAAGATCGGCAGGATCCCGATCCTCCATCTAGTGGCCGATCGGCATCCAAACCGACCATCCACGTTATATTCGGAGGTTTGGAAGATGCTTCCTGACCTCGGGAAAGTTGTCGGGTCGCGATCGTCGACTCCCGGGAAACCGGTAAGAGGCAAAAGCTGGAGCCCATCACCTTCACTCTAGAGGACCAGCCGGAAAGCGGTGATCATGGAATGGAAGCCCTAGTTGTCACGATTGACATCATGGGAACCGACGTTCAGAGAGTAATGGTGGACACTGGGAGCAGTGTGAATGCCCTTTATTTGGACGTGTTCGAGAAGTTAAAATTGGATAAGCGGGAGCTAATTTCGGTCGGCGTACCCTTGTCAGGATTTACCGGGGCCACCATACGCCCTAAGGGAATGATCGTACTCCCGGTTGAGATCGGCACTCCACCGAAGTCAGTGAAAACGAAATTGGAGTTCGTTGTGGTCAACCTTCACTGTGTTCACAACGTCATCTTGGGCCGACCGGTCATTATGAGGGTCGGCGGGATTATATCAATACCTAATTTGTGCATGAAGTTCCCCACCCCTGCTAGGGTCGGAGTTGTGCGAGGCGATGTCCAGTCAGTAAGAAAATGCTATACCCGGGCAATCAATCGACGTGATGGCGGTTCTTCCCGGGTGAATACCATTATCAAGGAAGCCGTCGGAGATCGGAAGGAACAATCCGAGCCCTCTGAAGAGATAGAGGAGGTTCCTTTGTCTGAAGAACGACCGGAGAGAAAAATAAAGATCGGGCGGGCCCTCACCCCTGAATTACGATCGGAAGTGTTAGCGATCCTTCGGGAATTTGCTGATATATTTGCATGGGGACCTGAAGACATGCCCGGGATTGATCGGACCGTAATCTGTCACAAGCTAGCCGTAGATCCCGTGGCGAAACCGGTCATTCAGAAGACTCGGCACCTATCATCCAATCGCCGAGAGTTTGTCCGAGAGGAGGTAAAGAAGATGGCAGCCATTGGGCACATCCGCCCGGTCACTTACTCCGGATGGGTGGCCAATATTGTACTCGTGTCGAAGCCTCCATCCTGGAGAATGTGCATAGATTTCACCGACCTGAACAAGGCATACCCCTTAGATCCCTACCCGTTGCCGAGCATCCATCAGATGGTCGATGAGACGGTCGGGGCCGAGCTGATGAGCTTCATGGACGCGTTTAAAGGATATCATCAAATCATGATGAACCATGAAGATGAGAGTAAGACGGCCTTTGTCACACCCGACGGATTATATTGTAACCTGGTCATGCCATTCGGCCACCGAAATGCAGGAGCGACATATCAAAGGATGATTAATATGCTCTTCGAAGACCTGCTAGGCCGAACGATGGAAGCTTACATTGATGATATGTTGGTGAAGAGTCGGGACCGAGCGGACCACACTCGAGATCTCCGACAGTGCTTTCAAATCATGCGGAAGTACCAGCTACGCTTGAACCCCAACAAGTGCACGTTTGCTGCAAACGGAAAAATTCCTCGGCTATATGATGACGAAGAGAAGAATTGAACCCAACCCCGCGAAGGTCAAAGCCATTCTTGACATGCAACCACCCACGACCGTTCGGGAGGTATAACAATTGACCGGGAGGTTGGCTGCCTTGAGCCGATTTCTTTCAAAGTTGGCTGAGCGTGCTTTACCATTCTTTAAGGTATTGTGCAAAGTTAATGGGTTCGTGTGGGATGAGGAGTGCCGAGCGGCTTTTGATGAGCTCAAAGAGTATTTGATGTCACCAATCGTTTTGTCAAAGCCCGAGCTCGGGGAAGAGCTAGACGTTTATTTGGTCGTTTCCGATCGAGCTGTAAGTGCAGTTTTATGCCGAACAGATTCAGAGGGGGTGCAGCGACCGGTGTACTATGTGAGCCACGCGCTCCATGGTCCCGAGCTCTGGTACTCCCGGTTGGAAAAGATAGTCTACGGTCTATACATGGAAGCAAAGAAGTTGGCCCCTTACTTTCAGGGTCGAGCAATCCGTGTGTTAACTGATCAACCGATCAGGGCGGTTCTCCGCACCGCTTCTTCTTCCGGCCGCCTGGTCAAATGGGCACTGATGTTGACACAATACGCAATTGAATACCGACCGAGACCAGCTATCAACGGCCAAGCTTTGGCGGATTTCTTGGTCGAGTGCACCGCTCGGGAGACACGACCTCCAGAGGTCGAAGATATTGAGGCTGCGTGGTGGTCGTTGGCCAGCAACGGGTCAAGTAGCAAGAAAGGGGCCGGTGGAGGAGTTGTGATAACGAGCCCGGAAGGTTTCAAAGTGTATTATGCCTTGATGTATCAATTCAACCCGACCAACAATGAAGCCGAGTATGAAGCGTTTGTCAATGTCTTGCAATGTGCTCGGGAAAGGGGGCTAAATATATCCAGGCCCAAACCGACTATGCGTTAGTCGCCGGGCAGGTGTTGGGTGATTATGAAGTTAACAGAGAACGGTTACAAGCCTACCGAGATCTTGCCATAGAGAAGCTTTCTTTGTTTTAGGCATATACTGTCCGTCACGTTCCCCGACTAGATAATGCCGATGCAGACATCTTATCCAAGTTGGCACAAGATGCTCCTGAACACATGTCGAAGATCGCTCGGATTTTGATGATTCCGAGACATAGAATTCACCGTTTGCCGGTCGCACCTATCCAACCGGCCAAAGAAACTTGGATTTCTAATCTAATGGAGTATCTTCAACACGGTCGGTTACCGGACGACCCTCGGCGGGCCCTCCATGCTACTTTCCTCCCTTTTCTTGTTTTGCTCCAAAACAAGTGTTGTCTTGCTTCAAACTTCTGAGACTCTGTAGTTGATCTTCAATGATGCACAGGTCTCTTTGATGAAAATAAACACTCTGGAATGATTTCTCTTGAACGCTCTGAGTGTTTTCTCTCTTTGAGTGTATCAAGTAAAGCACTTGATTTTTATGCTCTGTTTAAGAACTCTCAGAATATTTTTCTCTTGAAGCTCTCTGAGTTCTTTCTCTTTTCTCACTTCTCACTTGAAGATTTTTGGTATGCTCTGTACCAAATGGGATTTTTGCTCTTTGCTCGTATATCTTGCTCTATTGCTCGTATATCTTGCTCTATTGCTCGTATATCTTGCTCTATTGCTCTATTCGTTCCCCTTGTTCTTCAAGTCTTCATATCTTCATCATTTTATAGCTGGTAATGAGAATCTGTCCGTTGGAAAGAGACGATCTCATTTTTGAAATCTTGTATCTTTTTGTCAGAGATCTTATCTTATCTTCTGCAAAGATGTCAGAAAGGATAAGCTAGCCGTTTGAGAGCTTGAACTTCATACGAATGGTTTCCCAAACTTCATATGATATTCCTCTGGTTTTACGATGAGTGAAAATATCTGGGTGTAGAACGGCTTCTCTGATTAGCTCTGAAGTGGTCCTTGTTTCTTTGGGATTTAAAAAAAATATTTTTCAATTTAATCCCATACTAGTTAAACTAGTATTTTTCCTTGTGAGAATATTTTCACTGTAAGTTCATCTTCATCTTCTTCATTCTCACGTTTGGGTATTCTCAGACTTCAAACTGGTTGTGAACTTCCTCCCAATTTGAATTTCTCCTTTTGTAATTGACACCCAATTATAATTGACTTGTAATTGGCACCCAATTTGAATTTCTCCTTTGTAATTGGCTCCCAATTGACTTTGACTTGTAATGGGCCCAATTGACTTTGACTTGTAATTGGCTCCCAATCTACTCCTGGTGCTTTCAATTGCTTCCCAATTTGAATTATTGACTTTGACTTCGAAATTGGCTCCCAAACTTCTCCTGGTATTGAATTTCATCTCAATTCAATTTGATCTCCATGTCTTCTTTGAATCGGTCCCCAATTTGAAATTACATCCCAGACTTCTCCTAGTATTGAATTTCATCTCAATTCAATTTGATCTCCATGTCTTCTTTGAATCGGTCCCCAATTTGAAATTGCATCCCATACGTCTTCTTTGAATCGGTCCCAATTTGAAATTGCATCCCATACTACAACCCCCAATTTGAAATTGCATCCCATACTACAACCACAATTGGCTCCCAATTTCAATTCATGCATTGGCTCCCATCAAATTGCATCCCATACTACAACCCCCAATTTGAAATTGCATCCCATACTACAACCTCAATTGGCTCCCAATTTCAATTCATGCATTGGCTCCCATCAAATTTATTGGCTCCCAATTTCAATTCATGCATTGGCTCCCATCAAATTGCATCCCATACTACAACCCCCAATTTGAAATTGCATCCCATACTACAACCTCAATTGGCTCCCAATTTCAATTCATGCATTGGCTCCCATCAAATTTTCAAATTTCAATTCATGCATTGGCTCCCATCTTGAATTGATTCCCATGTGAAACTTGCTCCCAATTTCAATTTCTCTGAAACAAGCTCCCAATTTCAATTCATGCATTGGCTCCCATCAAATTTGAATTCATGCGGCTTGCTCCCAATTTCAATTTCTCTGAAACTAGCTCCCAATTTCAATTCATGCATTGGCTCCCATCAAACTTAATTAATTTTGGCTTCTCAAATTTTACCTTGTAAAATTATTAATAGTGAGATTTGAACTTGAGCCATTTCGCATAATAAATCAAGCATCTTCCACTTCATCCGTACAACTTATTAGTTAAATCTCCAATCATATTTGATGTACTCATTTCTTTCCATAGATGCTTGATCTCCAAGTCAAATTCATGCAATCTTCCAAACTTAATTTTCTTTCATGAAAATTCTTCTGCGATATCTTCTTGAGTAGCATTGACGTGAATATTATATCATTCATCTTCTTCTTCAATTTGTCATTTTCTCTAGATAAATTCAT